GGAAAGCAAAGAAGGAAAGATGAGAAGAATGAGGATAAGAAGAGGTAGGTCTGGGAAAGCTGGGAGCCACAGAGGGGCATGCTTACAGAGCTGCGGGGATTGAACAGCCAGAGCGAGAAGATTTGTGGTCTAGGAGAAAAGCAGAGAGCTAAGGGCCTGGATAAGAGTGTAAAGACTTACTCGTGACATATCCATGTTACAAAGAATAATGATTCTAGAGCTCTTACTGGCTAAACTGGGATGTTCATAACGAGAAGAACAGGAAAGAACTCCAGGAAGAATTTTAACTTTATTTGTGCACTTCATGACAGACTGGCACAGACATGGAGAAGGAAAAGAAGGAAGGATTACTCATTCTTCCTCTTCAGAATTAGGGATATGAAATCAAGTAATCAGGTAGAATCTTTAAAGCAAACAAATATTCTTTCTCAGGCAACACATAAATAATCTGTAGATCCTCATTGCCACAAGACATTGGGAAGACCAAAAGCCTTAACGGATTAAAAAATCTAGTAGAGAATTGCACGGCATAAAAGTCCACTGGAGCTTATTAAACTTAAAGATGTATATTCCACTTCCAATTTTGCGTGTCTTACCTTGCAGGTTACCAGAAATACCTATCTATAGTCTGCCTAAGGACGAGTATCGCTTCGTGCTTGTCCTGTTACTCAGTTTCATGATGTTTTCTCATCTGGTTGTTGCCAGAAACAGAATGTCAGACTAAGCATGTCTTTGATCTCCCCCAGTCTAGACAGACTTTTGTTCTTATATCAGTGAAAAGAGAAATGATAGGGCTCTGGATGCCATGAGGACAGAAAACAGAGATGGCATTTATGTTATTCAGAGTCTCCCAGGCAGGGCAGCATTAGAGCATTTGGTTCTCTGCACAGGCTACTTGCAAGAACAGTGAAATGCATATGCTAAGTTCTTACAGAGCCTAATGAACCGATTTAATTTTATTAAATAACCCTGCAATCTAATTGATTAAGAGTTGATGGCAATTTTCTTTTGCATTTTCTCCTAAGTGACAGAGAAAGAATATGAAATTAAAAAATAAGACAAAGACAGAAAATCCTGAGCCTTTCTGCTGTTTCTAAGCATTTTGCTCTTATTTTGCACATATGTTCGCATTCCATTTCACGTTATGTATCTGTGGCTATTACTTGAAGTAGTATCAAAACTGGCCACTTGAGGGCAATACTGCAACCTAATTTTCCCAGTGTTCGGCTCCAAGCCAGACCTCCACGTCATATTAAAAGATTTATTGCCTGGGTAGGTAAGGGTCAGTTTTATTTGCATGTATGGGAAGCACAAAAAATATTTCTCTTTACTCAAGCTTCCAAATGTTTAATACACACAGATAGAATTTCAGTGATAGTTACAGTGACTTATACCACAGCAAGCTTAACAGCAAACTGGTTTAATAAATTATGTTTACTCCACTGAGCAGCTGGAAAATCACTTAAGAGCATAGTTTCAGCTGAGGGTGTCGAGGGTTATGCAAGTACACCAGTCAAGGAATTCAAATCCAGGAGACACCTGACTGTCTATTTTGGATGAGCGAAGGAGTGGTGAGCCAGAGAGGGGGCCGTGCAAAGCTGCCGACAGCACAGAAGAGCCTTCGCAGGTGATGCAGGATGTGGCGCCGCTAAAGGCTACGAAAGTGCATCCCTTCGTTAAGAACTGGGACCAGGTTGGGAAAGGGTGATGGCAGGACAAAGGAAGCACTTCACAGTGTGTTAAACCTTGAGATAATTAATCATAAACGACTCTTTCGCACACCAGCTTCTATAAAACAGAAGAATATTCAGGGGCCAGCCTTCTGCTCAATACACACGCAGAATGTCGATTAACACGAAGGGTATTATTGCATACATTGACAAAGACCCATCCCTTAATTGGTACCATATGCAAAATAGAAAGCTTCTATTCTATTATTAACTTTTCAAAGCACAGATGGTCTAAATAAGGGGTTTCCAAATTTCCTCAAGGAAATAAGGCTATTATGCAAGTCTCATATCAAAACATTTGTGTGGCAGAAAGCCATTCTCTCCCTTGTATCTCCTGCATCTTCCCAGCCAGGGCCCAAGAGTAGAGTCACACTTTTGCCACTCCTTGACTATACACAAAACCCACATGCCAGTGCAGGCTTTAGCTTCCTGTGCTTTCTGATGCTAAAATATGTATAATCCGGAGGAAACCTGGCAGATGGTGAGCAAAACACACTTGAACTCTTCCTGAACTGCCATTTGGCCAATGCTTATTCAAGGAGTTATTCTGAAGCCTTGCCATTATGATTAGGATAAGTAAATAATTTATAATAGTTTGCTAACAAAGAAGCAGTGGGGAATGCAGTATTATTTAATTAATTAAACTTCTGTTTTTTCTTTACACAGTTTCTGTTAATCATTTGATATCACCTGGTACTCTGTCTCCACTCTTATATCCTTCATGTATACCACAGTCTGTTTACTTGTAGCAACCATAAAGGGTTGGTGTACACAGGGGATCAAATTTTAAAATTAACACACTGAGCTCGTGATAGTAATGTTGTAACAAAGTTAACCACAATTGTGGATCAATTTCTCATCAATAATAGTATGATTATACTGGTATTGATGAGAAAATCTGCTGACCAAAGGCCTAAATACACTGGTGAGGTCTTTAAATAATTGTGCAACATTACTGAAAGCAGCGTATCTATGATGCCAATGTAGCAGATTAAAATTATTCTTATCTGTTCATTTAAAAAAAAAATAATTCAGTCAGCTGCTCCTGGGGAAAAACACATCAAACACCAGCAATTTTTTTCAGACCAAAGTCTCCTCTATAGGCATATTCAGTCCCCAGTGACACTGATGGGTATTCTGTCAATCAGCAAAAGACAGGTCTTAGAGATCCTTCCTGTCATTATTGACTATTGACAGGTTGGAGCTTCACAACATTAACAAACACTTTTCCTTCCTACACAACAGAAAGTAAAAGCTTAGGAGCTTTCCGGACCAGGTTCCTTGGCTGGTACAAATATGCGTAGCTCCACTGGCTACGTTGGGAGAGGAGATGGCTCTGCTGGCATTGTATGTCCCACTGGCAACAAGTGACGGCTCCATGGTGTTTATGAGCAACTTGATGCAATCTCATCCCAAAGGATATCAACAATTGAATTCAAACCTTCTCCCAAGTATTGTTTTCTGACTGATGCCTCTGCACCAAGCACAGAAGCCTCTCTATGATTCTCCCAGTAGTGGTCTCTGGCCACTCTGTGAATTCCCAGTGTCTCACTTCTCCTGGAGACTCCTCCCAGGTTCTTTATAGGGCACACTGTTTATGCTGAGAGACAGTCTTATACACCCCACTTTCCATCATTCTGTTAATTTGCATTTCAATCTATACATCACTACAAATGTGCTTTCTGTGGTGCCTATTTTTTGTTTATTTCTTGCCATTTTGACAAATCTGCCTAAAGCTGTGGAAGATATAACATCACAGCAGCAGTAACCAGATTGGAACTACTGTAGATGCGCTGCTGCTTCTATTTATCATTTTTATTGCTTCTTCAGCTGCCAAAGTACTCTGTAAAGGGTGGCTGGGACCCCCTTCAGCAGACTTCCCTCAGTGGAATTTATTTTACGGAGCCATATCACAATTACTAATGACTCCTAGCCTTTAAAGTAGCCTCTACTTCAGCTGCAATAGTGATACTGTTGGACATTGTGCGATTTCAATAAGCATAAAACAAAACTGAATCCCAAGGTTTGAAGGTGAGTGACCATTAGTTTTCCTAAATCTAGATAGTGGAAAATAGATGGCAAAATAACATATCTTCTTGGGCCTACATAGTTTCTGAGGGGGGAAAGAAAGGGAAGTAAGTTCATCTCACCTAATTTTGGCAATCTAGAATTTGGCATGTTCTCTAAGAATGTCACAGCACACGGAAGGAAGCAGACACTTTTAGCAGGAAACTCATCTCATTCCAAAATTAGTGTCTAAATTGGGTGGGATGATTTGTTCTCTAGAGGTGTCTGTTTCTCCAATAACTAGAATTAGATAAGGAGCTTAGACTAGGCACTTAACTTTGAGAGCTAAAATTATAGAACATACCAAATGACTGGCATCATCAAGAGCCCTGACAGAGGCATCACAACACTCAGGCTGACCCAAAGCCAAGACCTGCTCTACCCCAAGAGGGCTACATGGGCAAAGTGCACCCATCCTCAGATGGCTGCTGCAAGAGCTGATCTACATGACCTCAAGAAATCACTGCTACTTTGTGACTTTATTCCTTCAAAAGGGAAGGAGCAGCTGCAGAATTGTAGTTCCTTCATGAAGAGCTGCCATGTTGCAAGCATGGTTCCTTGCTGAAAGGACAAAGGAATGTTTGGAAATCCATAGGACTGCTGAGCAAACTAGACATGGAGAGAGAGGGGAGATCTCTCCAGGGACTTGGAGGTGTCCAGAATTAATCCAGTTAAGGCACATGTGAAACATCCTTCATGAAACCTAGACACCATGGGAGGCCCCCCCTCTTCATGGTATACTTCCTTCCCCTTACTCAGAAGTACCCTGACCCTCCTCCATTCTGTTTTACTTCACCTAAAAAAAGAAATCTAAATAAACCATTTTAAATATTTACTTTCCTCTTTTACAACACTGTCAATATCCGGGCAAAAGAGGTTACTGCATGACAGCACCCCCCCTGCTGTGCTTTAGAGAAAACCTTGCAACTGCTGTCAAATGTCACCAATGAAAATGGGCTCTGAAGCAAGCAAATCCCAGGGCCCTTCATAACCCCCACTGCACATGGCAACTCTTCCCTCCTTCATGAATCAAACCCCACTCATTCTGAGAAATGAAAGCTGTATATTAGGAGAATATTCACTTGTCAGCTGCACACTGCAAATAAAGAAGGAGTAAAAGAGAAGAAAGATATTTTCTGGGGATTTTTTTTGTCTCTGTTATTTGCCTGAAAGAGGGAAAAATTAGGAAATGAAATGTTTTACCTTTACAGAAAAGTGCTTCTTCTTGGGTGGATGCCAGACAGTGGCGGTTGAATGAATGAATGCCCTCAGAGGTGTTAAGGATGTCACAAGCACATATGCTTTAATGATGACAGAAAAGTCTTGAGCTTGAAGGATATCCTTGTGGTCTGGTGAAGCTGATACCTGATTCCTGGAAAGTAATAAGAATACACAGTATTAATGAAGTGCTTTTGCAAATGAAGAAAATGAGCTATAAGAAAATAGCGAAATAGTGAAATTAGTTGAAATAGGAAATTAGCCTTTTTTCCCCTGAGTTAAACAACACAGTAGATGAATCCAAGCAGGCTGGACCAAAGCTTTACAAGTCTTTTTATTGCTTTCAGTATTTTAAAATCTGAATTTCCACTCATAGAAAGCAACGATGTTAGGAAAGAGTTACATCCGAGAGTATATATAGGTAAATGCAATTGTGGGCATGTTGTAATTGTTGCGAACTCAGGACGTTCAGAGTGAAGGTAAAAACATTAAAGAAATCCAAGCAGCTTAAATAACAGAAGTGCATAGTCAAGGTACCCAAATTCAACACTGCTTTGTAATGAATTTAAAGGTTGGACTCGATGATCTCAAGGGTCTTTTCCAACCAAAGTGATTCTATGATTCTATGAATTCAGAAAAAAAAAAAAACAAAAAACTATGGGAAGACTGCACTATTGTTAGCACTTTCTTCAACGTAATATGGAGACACAAACGTGTGGTAGTGCATGCTTTCCCTAATGAAAGCCATGAACTATGATTCCAAATATTGCGAGTGACTATGACACCTAGAAATAACCCACAATAAACCAGCTAAACATAAAATAACTATGCAAGCTAACTTTGTCTAGGAAGTGACAGGGCTCTCTAGGTACTGGTCTAGAGCTCCCATAGTCCATACAAAAAGAATCAGCCATAGAAACAGGACAGAAAATAAAACCAAACCCAAGGAAAAAAATCTGCAATTTAAAAGCTTATTACTTGGGGAAATCTGAGCTATATTTGGGCATATTCACAAATGTGGTTATTATTCTGCCCATTAAAATCTCTGAGTACCTACCTCATAGCAAATGCAATGAGAAGATGACTATACAAATTATGGGTCTCTAAGACTGATTACTGGTAAAAGACACAGGGCTCTCCTCCCATTTCTGTGTAATCTTTGGCAATATGCGGCCTTTCTGGATCTCAATTTTGCCATCTGTAAAGGGAGTCTAATAATATCTATCCTAAAGAGAACTTTTTCTCCCCGCTGCAGAATGGTAGGGCCTCAGAGCATAAAATTTGTGAGATACTGTAACATAGGAAACAGCACTTGGACAGCCAGTTGTCAAGTATTTCTTAGTTCTTCACTTAAGGGAGGCAAAGGACTACGTATGCGTGTCTGCAGTAACGGCAAGGCAGGGATGGGAGCAGGAGATAGCTCAGTCCCTGTGAGACCTAAACCTGCAGAGGTGTCTCTGGGTCTGTATTTACCTGTCCAGGTGTTTCAATGCTCTCAACATAAAGACTTGGCTTTTGACTTGACACACAAAATGTTCAAACTTGGCTAGTACAGAAACAAGCATTATACAAGTATAAGAGACACAATACATCCAAGTGCTCCACCTGCTGCGGTCTCCTCTCTTGCTACGTTCTGCGGCCCTGCCTCCCACCTAAAAGCACAACGAAGCCCTCACAGTTTCTGAGGGAGAGGTATCATTAGCTTACAGCTGCGTGCTCCTGCTCTGCTCCCACCAGGACTGCAGATGGGCAGAATGTGTCTTGTCTGTCCTGCCGCCGACCTGGGGCACGCTGCTTGCGGCGCTGGCCCTTGGCAGCCCAGGCTGGCCGGAGCACTCTGGGGTGATGACTGGCAGCTGCAGGTCTGAAAAAGGACCAAGGGGATGAGAAAGAAAGTCAGCAGAGCACTGAAAGCAGCAGACAACTTCTGCTGTTACGGATAAAATGTGTAAAAATCAATAGGTAGAGAGGAGCCACTAGCATCAGCCAAAACCGTAAAATGACAAATGCTGAGACTGTAGTCCTTTTTGGATGTGCTAGCAGAGAGCTTTACACCCACCAAGCACACCCTTCCAGCTGCGAGCTCAGATGCCTAGCTGCAACTCCCACTTTATAGGTGAGTGCATGACTGCTGCATATAATAAACATCCCCTTCCCCATTTTTCTAAACAGAAATCCTTTATTTCTAAATATAGAATACCAAAACTTTGTTTCTCACATAGCCCTAATTACAATTAATGGGGATAAGAAATTTGTTTGACTAGGGACCAAGGGACTTTGCCACTTCAACTGCACAGACAGCTCAGTACATAACCACATATCCTTGTTTCTAGGTTCACTGTTTAAGGCTACATTTTGCAGTTACTGAAATCTATGGGAGGCTTAGTTCTGCCACCTGAGGTAGTGGGTTCAGGACTGATGTACCAGAGTCCTGAAGATTACTGAGGCGTGTAACTATTAATAGCAATCAAAATATTGTGACGTGAGCTCAGTCAACGGGTGGTATGTATTTTCTGCTTTTACTGTGCTGATAAAAAGGCACAGAGCCCTTACGTTATGTCATTATTTCATGTAGGGTGGTTTTCATTAACTCTAATACACCTCACATTTCAAGTTCTTAAGTAATAGTCAGGGAAAAATCAAGCTGTTCACATTATTCCCAAGCCTTATTACTTATCTTTTTAACGACATACTGCATCATGCTAATGTTATGAATTTATTTGTATAGCTTCTCTTTTAATGCATGCACTCTCCACATTGGTGCATGAAATGAAAACTAAAACTCAAGCTGTATTTCTGGTGATGAGCTGTGAGCAGCCATTCAAGGAAAAGAACTACTCCTTTTCGTACAGATCCTGTAAAAATGACGTTGTGATTGTCTCTGTTTATCGGCTCTTCATCAGATCAGCTCAGTTCAGCCTTCCAAGCGCAAACTGGGATCTAAAATTAATCTGGTCCTTTGCCTTACATGCTCCATTTAGCAGAGTTAAAGGCTGTACTAACCAAAACCAGGCCCTTATTAATATAGCACCTCGTGTGCAGATTATACTTTCATCGGCATCTCTGTGTTGTGTTACGCATTACAACTGATTAGGACTTTGTAAGGGACTACCTGTTTGCTAATGGTACAGAGACAAACCAGACTCCTCTCTGCCTACTTGGCTGTGCAGTGATAATAGGAATTAGCCAGTGAACTCCCATTAAGTCATTTGCTGAGCAGACTTGCTTCTAAATATGCACAGGGAGCATAAATCGAGGGCTATTTTTTCCATATCCACCCTGTAAAGACAGAATGGTATTTCACTGTGGCAATTTCCGCTCTGTAAAGAGAGTGGCATTTCACCACGGCAATCTGCAATAGTCCCACTGCAACTACTCCTGCGCATCGTTTTCGTTACCTAACTGAAGCACCCACATCAGCAAAACAGTATTCTTAGGCTTTGTCTTTAGGCAATGAAGAGATAAAGAAACCAGTCCTTGGAGCACTAAGAGAAATACTTGTTCTGAACTGCTCTCTGAAAGGGTCTGTTTTTTCACTGAGTATGGAAGAAAACTAAGCTACTCACCTGCAGCTGCAAATAATTTCCAGAGGGTAAAGTTTGATCATACATCTTTGGTGTTCAGGCAAAACCAAAATTAGTAAAACACATAAAGGCCCTCCACAGTGCACAGATGAATTTAGAGATCTTCTGATTTATCCTCATACTGGTAAAAAGGCAAGACACAGTCTTCTGCTGTTGCAACTATCTGTGGAGTTATGGAGCCAAGCCCTGTTCCCCTGTATCTTGGTACTGTAGCATATCCATCTGGAACAGCCCAGCACTGTCAGCCGCTGGGGTTCAAATCTCATGGCCTAGATCTTCACACAGCAAGACACTGATCTGTTGACCATGAGCAGGATCAAAGTCACAGAAAACCCATTGAAGCCCATGACAGCAATCCAAGCTACCCCCTTCCCAATGCTGCCTAGGGGGGCAGACAAGAGAGATAGACAGGTTATCCTGCCTTGATGGCTACACCACACAGCTGAAAGGAGGCAGAACTGTGCTTCCAAACCAAGCTCCCTATAACATACACACCCTTTACATTAGGCCATAGCTACATGATGACATTAACAGAGCCATACAAAGGACAAGAATGACTGCTCTTCTCTTCTCAGCTGATCATCTGAAAGTCAGATTATGTCAAAGGTGCAAGTTTTTCAGCAATTGCTTTAGTTAAAATGACCATAACGGTGAGAAAAAAATTCCTTATTTTAAAGAAAGCCAGTATTTCACTGAAAATTAGAACAGGGCAGCAGAGAAGGGCTATACAGCTTGTTACTCATGAGAAAGCAGAGAATGTCTTTTCCTTTTTAAAATATGGTTTTAATTGTGTTGCTAAGCCAACAAGTAACCAATATGGTATTAACTGACACGGCAGAGTTTGAAAAGAAGTGGAAGTTTGTACCTATATTTACCCCTCTTAAATGAGAAGTTTAGCTGGTTTAGGGAAATAGAAAATATTCCTTCGACATTAATCCATTTATCACTACTCAGTGGACTACTTACTAGAGCTGGATATAACAAAAAAACCCAAAAGATGAAAAAGGTATCCTGAAATTCTTGACTACTGAGTAGAAGCTCCTTAATATTGCCCCGGGTCATTGCAAAATGCCTCGACATAAAAACATGGAAACCTGCCATCTCTTTAAGAAAAGAAGGTTAAACAAAGTCAGGGTGTTGGCGATTAGCATTGAGAACAGAAAAGGGGCAATGCTCATAAATTATTCCTTGTGCTATAGAGCATCCTGTTTCCATGGTGCCTTACACACCTCTGGTGGTTTGCGTTAGCATCCACCTGGGAGAGAGCCCATCACAAGGTGGCTAGAAGAAGGAGGAAGGGGAGTGAGACTGTCACAAGGTGCTTGCTCCTTCGAAGTGACACACAGCATGTACACCATCAGGCAGAGTTGATGAGGGAGTGACAGTCCCTCACTTTGGTAAATCTACTCCTAGTAATCAATGAATACAATTGTCATAATAATAAAGAGATGTCAGTAGCGCTGGACTGCAGCACACTGAGCAGCATCAGTTCTCATGGCAACTCTTCACCTGCTCTTGCGCTCAAAAGCAGTAACAGTGTTTATTAGAGCTGTAAATTTGTTAATCAACATTATCATCAGTGAAAATTAGCCTGCAGTGCCTTTACTGTTTGCAGTAATTGCCATGTTTTTCCATCTTGAAATCACTCTTCAAGCTGTTGTTAATTAACCGGTCCTTTTGAAGTACATAAATAACAACCATATATTATAACAGAAGAGGTGAGGAAGGCTCAGCAGTTGATATGTGTCTGGAAGCTTGGGAAACCAAGTTAGAAAGTAGTCCCAGCATCTTAGTGTCATGCCCAGATTACATCCCCTCTTTCAAAAATCCAGATCTTAATATCAGTAAATTTTGTAGCAGAGTCTAAAGATCAAAAGAAAAAGAAGATGTAAACTAGAAAAGATTTATCCTTTTAAAGTGGTTATGAAGAAATTGAAAGGCTGGTTTTCCTGAGGAGCAGCTGCAGGCTTTGCCTCAAGTACCTTTTCTGCTGCCATTTGTGATGATCCAGTGTTACTTGTTTTCACTTAAAAAAAAGGCTTCACTTACTTGAAATTCTAGCTTGAAGAAGATTTCTTATCCTGACATCTCTGAAATGGTACCATTGAAGACACCGACAAACAGCCCCACTCTACCTCTGCCTAGGGTGTTCTCCATGATGCCATTTTGACAGGTAAGGAAGCCACTACAAGTTCTCATCTGAATTCACACATCAGCCCTCTAACCACAGCAATGGGTAAAACATAGATCTGAGACGTAAGAACAGCTGGGGGGCGCATGTGAAAGGGAAGTATAAGATCCACCAAAGCAAGTCAACACCTTTAGATCAAAAAAATTAAGCACCTCTTTGTCACATGAACTGGCGGTAGATATTGTTCTGTCAACTGCAATCTCTCAAAGTACCACAGATTCAAACAGATCAGTTGACAGAGACAACCGATATGTAATGCAGCAGCTACACTGACATCTAATGAGGCCTTTCAAGTATTTTACACAGCTCTGACTTCTTGCTCCCTCTCCCCTCATCTCCGGCTCCCGAGTTATTTACTTGACTTTGGCTCAGAGTTCTGAAGTGTAACATGAGATTCAATGCGTGCGCAATAAAGAATAGCTGATTTGAGAGTTACAACGTGTGGCTGAGCAAAAGGTTTACGAATAGCTAGGAGTACATTTGGACAAATTAAGACCTCCTGGAGCAGATCCAGGTCAGTGTTGACACATGTGGGCTGGCGGTAAATGGAACACTTAGGTTAACGTCAACATCTGGTGATCTGCAAAGGTAAG